AAGCATTGCGGATCACCACAGAATATTGTTCCATCGAGTGCTGGAAGGTGAGCCCTCTATGTTGGAAGTCCCTGGGAATACACTGTGGCCACAGAATGGACACAAGCATACCAACGATTGGGCAGATGGTTCCGGGCAGGGCCACCCCTTGTTCTGTTGGCACGGGGTCACCGTGAGCTGTAGCCAATTTGGCAGTGAGTAGAAACAACAAATCCTCAGAGAAACTGGATTACATGAAGAAGAATGGAGCATCCGGATTGGAGGAAGGCTCATCGGCAACCTGAGCTATGCAGATGACACAACCTTGCTTGCTAAAAGTGAGGGGGACTCAAAGCACTTGCTGATGAACATCAAGCAAGGGTTGCAGCTTTCCGTGTGGATGACAACTCAATGTAAAGAAGACCCAAGTACTCCCAACCAGATCGATAGGTAGTTTCATGATAAATGGAGAATAGATTGAAGTTGTCCAAGATTTCAGCTTGCTTGGATCCACTACAATGCTCCCGGTAGCAGCAGTCAAGAAATCAAATGATGGATTGCATTAGGTACATCTACTGCACCAAGACCTTCGTGCAGTTCTGAAAGCCAAGGATATTACTGTGGGACTGGGGTGTGCCTGACCTAACCCATGGTGTTTTCAAGTGCCTCACATGCCTGTGTAGTCGGACCTGGACTAAGAAAGACTGAAGATGAATCCATGCATTTGCACTGTGTTGCTGGGGAAGAATCTTGAAAGTACCAGGGACTGCCAAAAAGGACCCACAGATGCGTCTCGGAAGATGTGCAGCTGGCATGCTCCTTGAGGGCAAGGATGTGACCAGGGCACCAGGCTGGGTGAAGTGGGGGCCAGTGAGAAAGAGGAAGGCCCTCAATGAGATGGATTGACACAGTGGCTGCAACAGTGGGCTCGGCCTAGCAGTAGTTCGTTCGGTTGTGCTTAGGGTCGCTATGGATCAGAACCGAATTCATGGTACCTAACAACAGCAGCAGCAACAACTCCGTTTTTCAAAAGAATGTCTCCTCTTCTTCTTCCCCATGGAGACAACTGGATCTGGGTACAAGTAGAGGTTTAGGTAAACCTGTGGCAGTGAGGGCAGAGGCCTCTGAGCCACTACGAGGTAGCCACCAAGTTCTTGTGATGCCAACATGGTGCTTTCTGCCTAGATCCCTCCAGATGCCCCTGGCCCTCCTCCTCTGTAAGGGTTTCGTCCGCTAGGAGATGCTCATAAGTAGGGTTGAATCCATCCCAGTGCGTAATTGTCTAGATAAACAGTTGTCTTCCTTGGCTTTCCTTGCTTAAGAAAAGCCAGTTGACTCAAGCAGCCACATCCCCGAGAACCACCCGCTGTTCACTAGTTAACTTTCCCCAATTATAAATCAAAGAAAATGCCACGCGGAGCACTGCTTCTAAAGCAGGGCCTTTGCCTTTTGAAAGTTAGGCTGCCTCCAAGAATATGATGAAAACTCTGAAATTTCTCCCCAGAAAAAAGCCACAAGATGTATATGCAATATGCTGTCTATAATTTCAGGATATATGTGTGTATTCTGCTCAGATAACTCAAGAACTTTTCATTTACTATTGCATGTAGCAACCCACCCCTGTAAAATGATTTCCAGGGTTAAATTTAGGTAGTGGAGTAATATAGCAAATATTTCCCTTTAACTTGCCAAGAGAGGATAGTGGTCCAGTATAGTATTCAAGCTCAGTCATAGACCACCTGTCATAAAGACAGTAATACAGAGTATATCATAGAGACCAGATGTGTGAGATACAGTCCTATAATATTTTTAATTTTAGAAAAAGAAGAGTATAAAGCTGTTGAAAGCCTGAAGCTGAATGAGATTAACTGCACATGTAACGCTACTGGATCCTATACACCTTGCACGCGATGGCAATTGTACGGAGAGTTGCTGGTTCAGTTCTCATGCCTGTGTGTTCTAGGGAGGAAAAGATCCCAGCTTCAATCCCTTTCCAGGATGAAGACAAGACAAAGACAAATGATCTGAGTGAGGGAGACCATAATCGTGCCCAAAGTGTCTATGGCCCTGCGGCTAACAATAGAGGATGAGAAACAGAGGAAATCATTACACCATCATAACGGATGGCAGATCAATTCATCACTCTGACAGGGAAAGAATATACACAACCGCGTATTAGAAAGGCTGACAAGGTTTGTTCTGTGGAACGTGGACCACCTGCCCACGTGGGTGCAGCGATATTACTTATTACTCGTGACCAGGTAGTCCTCAGAATTTTTGGTGACACGTGTCTGCTAATAGTAGTTGCTGGTTAGGGTGCTCGCACAGGACCCCTGGAAGGGACTACCCCTCCCTGGGCTGGCTGTCGAGTAGTCACTGCCATTACTTTCAAAAGATTAAAACTCACTGCCATCGAGTCGATGCCGACTCGTAGTGACCCTACAGGACAGAGTAGAACTGCCCCTGTGAGTTTCTGAGACGGAAACTCTGCACAGGAGGAGAAAGCCCTCTTTTTTCCCCTGAGAAGGAATTCAGTGGAGGCTTAGTCCAAGTGGGATTCTGCAAATGGAATTTGGCTTTTCACTGTCATCCATAGCCTACTGCAAGAATTTAAGTTCTAATATACTGTTAATAAACAGTACAGAGTGTATATACTTGCTTATTATAAGTAGGGACCCACAATATTTGTCCGAAGTTTGTTGCTGGTGATGAATTTTCAGCTATAAGAGGGTCTCTATGAGGAGGGGCCAGCTAGTGCAGCTTCTGGGCCCCGTAGAGAAGACACCAAAGTGAGAGAGGCGAAGGATACTTTCTATTGTGAGCATGTCAGCAAGGGGCTCTGAAGCATAAACCTCAGATCAGGTCCCTGAACAGCCGGTTACCTCCTTTTGATGTATTTTCTAACAAGGAGGTTATAAATATGCATAAGAGACCAAGGAAAACATTTGCACTTTTAGGATTAACAGCTGTGTGAGTGCAACAGCAGTGGCGGGGGTATTAAATGGCTGCCAATGGGTGTGTTTTAAAGAGTCAGGAACCTTCACAGTATCATGTTGATGCCTTGGGCTTCGATGTTGGCAAGTTGGCAGTTCAAAACCATCAGCTGCTCTCGGGAGAAAGATGGGACTTTCTATTCCCATAAACAGTTATAGCCTCAGAAACTTACAGGGCCAGTTGTACCCTGCCCTATAGAGTTGCTGTGGCAGTTACATAATCTCCTGTCAACTTGTGAAGGGGTGGAGCCTAGCCTGTCAATCAGATCACAGCTTGATGATCTCATTTGGAAGCGTGAAGGAGAGAAATAGCTCACTGGAGGCCAGATATACTCTCTGCTTCGTCTTCCTGCTGACAAGATACATGGAGTTATGCGAGCCTTAGAGCTGGAGGAGCCATGTGAAGACTCCTGCCAGCACTGAGATGCTTCCACTACCACTGGATCCACAAGACTTCCCACCCACTGGCCTGTGATCTTCCTGCATTCAGCGTCATTGCATGTTTTGCATGAGTCTGAAGAGGAATTTATGCATTGGTATCATATATATGGGCTAATATTGGGCTTATGAACTTGATCTGGACTGGGCTGGGATGTATTCGTACTGTATAATTACTCTTTATAGAAAGCTCTTTCTTATACACATATGAGTGTCTATGAATTTGTTTCTCTAGTCAACCCAGACTAACACAGTTGCTAGGAGTCAGTGAGTTTTCTCTTAAGCTACCTTCAAGTTTCTCATTCTGAGCAAGGGACTTTGGCCTGTGAAGAATGTGAGGAGAGGTCTCATTTTGTAACTGACTTACTATCAGGCATAATGTTTTAAAAGTTTATCTATGTTGTGGCATGTATCATAACTTCATTTCTCTTCATTTTCTGCTCTCTTTTACATTTGGGATGTACATTTAAAAGACATTTTTCATAAAGAGCAAAATATGTCCAATAACTCATTATGATTCTATATTGTGAATTAGGTGAAGGTTTAGAGAGCAGATCATCAGTTTTCTATTGAACAATTTATACACATTTTATTTCAAATCATCCTTTTCAATTCTCTTAATGTACTTCCTTACTTCCTCCCTGTATTTCCTGTGCTTATTCCGCCTTCGTCCATAACCCTTTGATCTTTTTCTTTGTGTAAATGCTACCCTTTTGACCATAAATAGTTGGTTGTTCTGATGGGGGGGCTGCATAAGGGGCGGGAAGTTCAGTTCCAGACCAGAAAGGTGACTCGGGGTCATCGTCTTGATGGTCTCTCGAGTCTCTACTTAGCCAATAAGTGTGATTTCTTTTATCATTTTGAGGTTTGTTCCACATTGTTTCTCCCTTCTAATGCGATCCTTTTCAGAGCAGTTGGTGGTAGTAGTTGGGTAGCGTCTAGTTCCTTGGTCTCCAGGTTGTGGTCCATTCGTTTATTGGACTAATTGTTTCCATATGTCTTTAGCTTTCCATGACCACTCTTTTCTCTGGATGGGCAGCGATAATAGCCGCATATTATACGGCTGCTCAAGGGCTTGTAAGACCCCAGCCACTACTCACCAAAGTAGGATATAGAGCCTGGTCTTTGTGACCAATGTTATGCCAAATGACCTTGGTGTCCACCAAGACTATGGCCCTGAGCCCCAGCAACACATTTCCTCAAGCTATTTACCTGGCTATGTCTAAGATGGTTTCGTAACTTTGCTCCCTAGGTACTCCCCCACATTCATGGATTATATGCGTCTCCTTTCTCACTCCAAAGTAACGGTTCATGCTTTTATATTCCACCTGACGTGCAAAAAGGTCATCTATTTCAGCATGTACTTTGACACATGCATTATCCCTTTGACTAATGAACACACACATGTGCACGCACACACAGAGAACTAGACTTGGCGGTGCAATGGCAATCGGAAGTCTAATTATTCTGAGTTGCAGTTTTGTGAACTGCAAATTTGCTTTAATGCATCTGGTCAGCAATCAGTAGCTTTTCTTCTTCATTGCTTTTTCTTTTCTTTTTGTATGTGTTCCCTGCGATTTCCTCTCACAGCTGTGCAATGGAGGTTCCGTCACCGAGCTTGTCAAAAGTCTGCTCAGTTGTGGCCAGCGGTTGGATGAAGTGATGATCTCCTACATCTTGTACGGAGCCCTCATGGTAAGCCCGTGGATCCAGCTGGTTTAGGCAGCAGAGCAAGCAGAGCTCTCCGTTGTAAATTCACAATGGAGGAGAGCCTCTTTCATATGCAAGGGTTAAAACAGCAGGGAGGTGCAGCGGATGGGAGAATAATTGTTTGGGAATACGTGTGTAAACGTGCCCCTTTCTCTTTCTTGTTGCTTGGTGGTGGTGGGACTCCATGCAGGGCCTTCAACATTTGCACAACAACAGAATCATCCACCGGGATGTCAAGGGGAATAACATTCTTCTGACAACAGAAGGAGGAGTTAAGCTCGTTGACTTTGGTAATGACTGCTTGTCGTTTATTTTCTTACTGTGTGCAGTTTAGCCCAAGGCGACAATTTATTGCAATCTCAGAAGACAGGGGCCTCTCCAACAGGCCATAGGCTGAGGCATTTTTCCAGTTAAATGCAGACTGGAGAGTAGGGGGGTTACCAGATGGAGCACCCTAGGAAATGCTGTTGGTTCATCTATTTTCAGTTTTAAAAGCTATTTTGTTAGAAGTGGAAATTAAAGCAACAACAGCAACAAGGATTTCCCAAGAAGAATTTGACAGAAAAAAACTTTTTTGGTGTTTTGGGAGGTCTGTCTCAAGGCAATTGTCTGTTATCTGAATTTTGTCATTTCCTGTTTTGCGTATGAAAAAACAAAGCACGTTGGTCTTTCAAATGACTCTCACTTGCCTTTGGCACCCTTATTCCCAGGGTGTCAAAGGTGAACTAGTCCTACGGCCTGAGAGCTAGCATCCCTGTAAATTATGATTATTTCCATGACGCATGACGCTGGTTGAACTGGAAACATTAACAGGAAGTGGAAGTGGGAGAAAATGCGGGGCATTTTCTATGAAAGATGAAAGATGTTTGTGTAACATGTTTATGAGTATAACTATGAAAGATGTTTGTGTAACATGTTTATGAGTATAACAATATTCATTAGCCAACAAAGCATTGGGTTTCCCATTTTAAGTTCACGGAGGGATTTATCTTCCAAATGAATCTTAACAATAGTTAGTACTTTGAGACTACTTCTATGAACAATGAGAAAAAATATATAGAGAAGCACTTTTTAACATATTCCTTCTCATGCCAATGTAGAGGTGTGTGTGTAGGGGGGGAAGATTGATGGATTTTGAGTATTTGTGGTTTATCAATAAGAAAAAAGTGGTGTTAAAATATCAGTTATAGGGAAAAAAAGAGACCCCCCCAAAGTCAAATATAATTTATAGAGACCCATTTATTGTATGAAATAGAAGAAAAACAATCACCTCGATGTGGGAGATCACCAGCATGAGGCATAGAGGTGTCCATGGATTGACAGTCACTGGGCCACTTACATGAGCCGCGGAAAACGAAGGAAGTTGCCACAAAATCACGATTGGTGATATTGTCAGCTAACCCTGAAGGTCCTTGCTCGATTGTAGTAGCTGATTGAAATCAAGCAGACACGGTGTGAACAAAACAGAGAGGGACTTTCTTTTTTTTTTTTAATCATTTTATTAGGGGTTCATACGACTCATCACAATCCATACATACATCAATTGTGTAAAGCGCATTTGTACATTCATTGCCTTCATCATTCTCAAAACATTTGCTCTCCACTTAAGTCCCTGGCATCAGGTCCTCATTTTTCCCCTCCCTCCCCGCTCCCCCCTCCCCCCTCCCTTGTGAGCCCTTGATAATTCATAAATTATTATTTTATCATATCTTGCCTTGTCTGACATCTCCCTTCACCCACTTTTCTGTTGTCCGTCCCCGAGGGAAGTCACATATAGATCCTTGTAATCGGTTCCCTCTTTCCAACCCACTCTCCCTGTACCCTCCCAGTCACACCACTGGTCCTAGAGAGGGACTTTTCTTGTCTTCAAAGAGAAGCAGCAGCACGGGGTGGCTGCACCCCAAATTGGAGGACATTGTGTCCTTTATTTCTTCTGACTTCCCGAATCTTGACTCCTTCCCATCTTCCTTTGCCCTCCATCTAGCTCACTTCTGCCCATAAATGGGGGTCCATTTGGTGAGCCGTGTTCTACAATTAGTCTCTAGACAGACCTCTTGGTTGAGAAATCAGGCTCAAGTGGAATAGTTGATCGGCCAACGTGGTTCCTTCTAGTGACTTGGGTCTGAGGTGAATTGAAGGATATTGTGGTCTTTACTTTTCATGCTCTAACTGTTCATATTCAAACTGGGAGCACCCCGAGGCAGATCTTTGAAAATGGCCTTGGGGAAAAATGCTGCACAAGTTGGCAGATTCAGGTCAGAGAAGGGTGAGGTCATCGAAAAGGGGATATTGTCTCATATTCATCAGCAGATTGACTCATTAGTCACAGGCAGGGCTACAGAGGTGGAAAAGGGACCACAATTGAGATAGGTAAACCATTACCGTTTAGAAAACTTGTGAAAGATTGGTTCAAGACCTTTGGACAAGCCAGTCACTTATGACTCTGAAATCAAGTGCCCACCCAAGTGAGGTCCTGAGGGTGAGCTGGCACCTCCCTGGGTTGTAGAGGGGTGTCCCGACCAACACATGCTACCTGAAGGTGATGCTTGCTACACTGCTGGTCAGTGGTCTGAAAGAGCTCAGTGGAGCCTGATTCTACGTGGAGACTCAGAATGGACTTTGGGCTCCCACTAGAAACCCATCTTGTTGTTGTGACTACATTTGTGTAGTCTCTTAAACAAGTGGTGCTGTCAAGTTGGGTCCCACTTACAGTGTGCCTGTGTACCGCAGCACCATTTGTTTAAGAGACAACACACACACACACACACACCTGTCCCCTCTAAATGGATGTTGGCTCTTTGTTAAAGATTAGCTATCTATAGGATGAATTTACTTCTAGGTTTTTAGTTTTGTTCCATTTGTCTATGTGTCTGCACCCTACCAGGCTGTTTCGACTATTATGGCTGTACAAGAATAGATTTTTAGATTGGGAGTGTGAAGCCTACTTTGTGCTTTAGTATTGCTTTGCTTATCTGGGGTTTCTTTCCTTTCCATATAAAATTAATAATTCGTTTTTCCATCTCTTTAAAAAATAAAGTTGGAATCTGGATTGGGATTGCATATTGTATCGCTAGATCATTTGGGGGTAGTATTGATATTTTCACAATATTAATTCTTTCTATTCATCAGCATGGTTTATTGTTTCATTAATATAAATCTCTCTTAAGTATCCTATAGTAGAGCATTGTTGTTTTCTTTGTATAGGTCTTTTGTTTCTCTGGTTAGATTTATTCATAAGTATTTCATCATTTGTGGCAACTGTGGGATTGTTTTCTTGATTTTATTTTCAGAGTTCTCTTTGTTAATGTAACGGAACCCAGCTGGTTTTGTATGTTTATCTTGTACCCTTCCACTTTGCTTAATTTTTCAATTAGTTCCAGTAATTTTCTTGCTGAACCTTTGGGATTTTTTAATGTATAGGATCATATTAAATTCAAATAGAGATAATTTTACTTCTTCTTGGCCAATTTGGATGACTTTAACTTATCTTTTCTGCCTGATAGCTCTTTCTAAGACCTCCAGCACAATATTGAATAATAGTAGTGATAAGGGGCCTAATTGTTTGGTTCCTATTCTCCAGAAGAATGCTTTCAGTCTTTTTCTGTAGATACTAATATTGACCATTTGTTTTGTACGTAAACCCTTAATTATGTCAAAGAATTCCCTTCTATTCCTATTTTGTTGAATATTTTTATCAGGAATGAATATTCAATTCTGGTAAATGACTTTTCCCACTGATTAATATGATTGTTCCCCGCCCTTTGTTTTATTTATGTGGTGAATGACATTGTTTTTCTAGTGTTGAACCATCCTTATATACTTGGTATAAATTATACTTGGTTACATGGTGTATTATCTTTTTGTCATGTCATTGGATTCTGTTGGCTGGGATTTTGTTGAGGATTTTGATGTCAATGCTCACGAGGGCTATTGGTCAATCATTTTAGTCTTTAGTGATGCCTTTGGCTGGTTTGTATCAGGGTTACACTGGCTTCGTAGAGTGAATCCAGGCTACTTTGTTCTTTTCTATCCTCTAGAAGAGTTTGTGGAGAACTGGTGTCAGCTCTTCTCTGGATGTTGGCTAGAATTTCCCAGTGAGGCCATCTGGACCAGGACTTTTTGTCGTTGTTGTGAGGAATGTTTTAAATGAGGTATTTGATTGGCTTGTGTGTGTGTGTGTGTGTGTGTGTGTGTGTGTTGGAGTGGGGAGGGTCTGTTCAAATTTTCTGTCCAGTTCAAATGATATGACTTTGAATAGGGAGTGTGCTTCTAGAAATTTGTATATTTTCCCCCTACACTTTCAAATTGGTTGGAATACCGTTCTTTGTAGTATTCTGTTACTATCCGTTTTTATTTCAGTAGGTCCTGTTGTGACATCATCATCTTATTTGTGTTATTGGGATCTTCTCCTACTTTGCCTTTGTTAAATTTCCGAGTAGTTTTTCTATTTCAAAGTCTTGTTGATTCTTTTATTGTTTTTCTGTTTCATTTATCTTTGCTCAAATCTTTATCATCCCTGGTTGAAGCCAGCAGTTCGAAGCCAGGACCAGTCTGCTGTTCAGGTGAAAGATGAGGCTTTCTCCCCTGTGAACAGTTACAGGCACAGCAACCCACAGGGCCAGTTCGACCTTGTCCTCTACTAAAGGCTTACTATGCATTGACTCTACATGATGGCAATGAGTGTTTGTGTTGTGGTTGTTTTGTGAGTGTAGGCCTCCCCCCACTCCCTTGGTTCTCTGTTTAATTGTTGGAGATGTTGGGTGAGGGTATTGATTTTGATATCGTCTTCTCTTTTGATATGTCCATTTATTGCTACAATTGCCCTCCGAACACTGCTTTTACTACGTCTCAAAGAGTTCGCTATGCTGCATTTTCACTCGCATTTGTTTCCAAGAATTTATTTCATTTTTTACTGTCTTCTGTTTACTAATCAAATTAAGTGTTACTCAAGTTCCATGTGTGATTCCCCCTACCTTATTTTTCCTATTGCTGACTTTTACCTAGAGCAATGTCATTTAAGATGATGCTTTGTGGTACTTCAGTGTTTTAACGCTTGTTGGAGCTTGCTGTGTGACTTACATAGGTCTGTTCTGGAGAATATGTCATGCGCGTTGGGAAAGAATGTATATTGTGCTACTGTTAGGTGACATGTTTGGTAAGCATCTCCGAGAGCTAGAGAGTTGATTGTACTGTTGACCTGTCTCTTTGTTAAAATTCTTTCTAATTATTTTATTTTTCATTGAAAGTGATGTTTTAAAGTTTCCTACTATGATCGTGGAGTTGTCTATTTCTCTTTTCCGTTCTGCTAAAGTTGGACGTGTGCTGTGGAGACTCCTCCATTGGATGCATAGGGTTTATTATGGTTTATGTCCTCTTGCTAGACTGACCTTTTAATCATTATGCAGTCGTTTCTCATCTCTGCTGGGTTTTGCCTTGAGTTCTATTTTATCAGAAAATAATATTTCTTTTTTTAAAAACATTGTATTGAGGGCTCTCGCAGCTCTTGTGACAACCCATACATCCATTGTATCAAGCGCATTTGTACATAGGTTGCTATCATTCTTTTCTAGACATTTACTTTCTATTGAGCCCTTGGTGTCAGCTCCTCTTTTTCCCCTCCCTCCCTAACCCCCTACCCTCGTGGCCCCTTGATAAATGATGTTATTATTATTTTCATATCTTACACTGACCGCTGTCTGCCCCCTACCCCCATAGTTTCACAGGTGGGGGCATGCGGCTATGTGTCTATCATCATGCTTGGTTCCCCCTTCCTCCCCTTCTATCCCCACTACCCCTGCTCTTTTTAATTGTAATGTGCTTGATGCATGTGGAACTGATTATATATATGACACTAATCCAGGGCACCTTTCTTCCACCCTTCCCTGTGGCACGAAGAAGAGAACTGTCTGAGGAAAAAGCACATCGGAAGCAGGTTAAAAGTCAGATCCTCAAAAAACCCCCAAAACAAACAAACAAACAAACAAAAAGTCAGATCCTCAACCTGGAGTCCTAGATAGTATTATTGGTCAATTTCATTTTCTATTTGACAAACACTGATTTCTTGCCTGGTGTTCAGACTTCAAGTCACTGAAAGTTTTATCAACACTGATATCTTAGTACAGAACGTGCATGTCTACCTTCCTCCTCCACAAAATGAAGTACCGTATTAAAAATAAATCAGCTGAAATATTTTAGAACTATAATAGCGAGATATTTTGTGCTCACTCTAGTTATTGATGCTTGTCTTTGAGTCTAGATTTTCAGTGATATGGGTGGTAATATTCATTATGAAAAAATTATTCTAGGAACTTAGGTAGAATGATAATTGCTCTAACACAGAAGTTGGCAAACTATAACCCATGGGCCAAAGCAAACCTGCCTCCTGATTTTGTGTGCCCACAAATTAAGGATGGTTTTCACATTTTCGGATAGTTAAGGGAAAAAAACACACCAAACAAGACAAGAATAATACTTGTTACCCATGAAAATGATACGAATTTCAGTTTGAGCATCCATCACTAAAATTGTATGGGGACATAGCCACAGCAACTTGCCCATGTTTTACCTCGATAGGATTTAGTAGCTGTGATGGAGATGGAAATATTTACTATTTCTCCTTTTATTGAACAAGTTTGCTAGACCTGTCTCACAGCATCCTCGGCCCACTGCTGAATCCGGACACTCTCTTCTTGTAGGTGTGTCAGCGCAGCTCACCAGCACCCGTCTGCGGAGAAACACCTCAGTTGGCACCCCGTTCTGGATGGCCCCCGAGGTAAGCAGAGACAGGCTGTCCTTTGTGTCTGCTGAGTTGAGTATCTTGTGACTATGCCTTTTCCTGGGCACCAGGGGCTTTACAGGCTTCACGTCCTCGTCCCTACGTCCTCGTCCCTTTCAGCACGCGAGCAAGTTTTCAGTATAGCTTACACCTCCACCTGAAGACAGCCCAAATCCTCACAGATAGACCAATAAGGCACATCATGACACATGCAAACGGAGATGGAAATTGTCAAGGATTTCATTTTACTTGGGTTCACAATCAATACCCATGGAAGTCGCTGTCAAGATAGCCAATGACATTGGATATATCTGCTGCAAAAGATCTATTAAAAGTATGCAAAAGCCAAGCTGTCACATTGCAGAGTAACGTGAGCCTGGCATGTAAATGGCCTCATGTGCCTGTGAAAGCCAGACAGTGAGCAAGGGAGACTCAGAGCAAATTCATGCCGTCGAATTATGGTGTTGGTGAAGAATATTGACTATAAGGTGTTGAATCGTGGTCTTGGTGAAGAATACTGAATATACAATGGGCTGCCAGAAGAACAAAGAAACCTGGGTTGGAAGAAGTAAGCCCAGGAGTCTCAGGTACTTTGGACATGTCATCAGGAGGGACCCGTCCCTAGCGAAGTCGAGTGTGCTTGGTAAAGTAGAGGGAAGGGAAGACCTGCCGTGAGGTAGGCTGCAACAACATGATCAAACATAACAACTATTGTGTTTTTGTTTTTTAAGATCATTTTATCAGGGGCTCTTACAGCTCTTACCACCATCCATCCATCCATCCATCCATCCATCCATCCATCCATCCATCCATTATGTCAAGTACTTTTGTACATATGGTCTCATTATCATTTTCAAAAATATTTTCTTTCTACTTGAGTCCTTGATATCAGCTCCTCATTTTCCCCCTCTCTCCTTCATCCTCCCTCCTTTGTGAATACCCTTGATGAATTATAAATCATTATTATTTTTATATCCTTCACCCACTTTTTTGTTCATCCCCCTGGGGGTGGGGTTGTATGTAGATCATTGTGATTGGTTCCCCTTTTGTTCCCCCCACCTTCCCTCTCTCCTCTTGGTATCGCTACTCTCATTATGGGTCCTGAGAGGTTTATCTGTCCTGGATTCCCTGTGTTGTGAGCTCTTATCTGTACCAGTGTGCATGCTTTGGTCTAGCTGGGTTTGTAAGGTAGAATTGGGGTCATGGTAGTGTGTGTGTGTGTGTGTGTGTTTGGGGCATTACATAACAATTGTGAGGATGGCACGGGAATAGGCAGCATTTTGTTCTGTTGTGGGGAGAGTTGCTATGAGTCGAATCTAGCTTGGCAGTACCTAACAATAGCATATGCTTTACACAAACACTTCTTTATTGTGTTTGAATTGCAACAGTTTTAGTTTGGTGAGTAATATGATTAAGATCCAGTGGTACTGATGGTTTTGGGAGGGGGTATGGGAGAGGAGGGGGGGGGCGGAAAGGAAGTGGTGTTAATAAACCGAGGGACAAGGGAACAACAAGTGATCCAAATAGGTGGTGAGGAGGGTGTGGGAAGCCTGGTAGGATGTGATCAAGGATAATGTAACCAAGAGGAATTACTGAAACCCAAATGAAGGCTGAGCATGATAGTGGGACAAGAGGAAAGTAAAAGGAAATAGAGGAAAGAAGTAGGAGGCAAAGGGCATTTATAGAAGTCTAAATAAAGGCATGCACATATGTAAATATATTTACATATGAGGATGGGGAAATAGACCTATGTGCACATATTTATAGGTTTAGTATTAAGGTAGCAGATGGACATTGGGTCTCCACTCAAGTACTCCCTCAATGCAAGAACACTTTGTTCTATTAAACTGGCATTCCATGATGCTTACCTTCCCAACACGATCGCTGAAGACAAAGCAGGTGCATAAGCAAATGTGGTAAAGAAAGCTGATGGTGCCTGGCTATCAAAAGATATAGCCTCTGAGGTCTTAAATGCTAGAAGGTAAACAAGTGGCCATCTAGCTCAGAAGCAACAAAGCCCACATGGAAGAAGCACACCAGCCTGTGTGATCATGAGGTGCCGGGCATCACGGGTGACTGTGATCAGGTATCAGGTGTCAAAGAACGAAAAATCAAATCATTGTGAATGAGGGGGAGTGCAGATTGGGGACCCAAGACCCATCTGTATGCAACAGGACATCCCCTTACAGAAGGGTTGCGGGGAGGAGTTGAGCCAGTCAGGGTGCAGTGTAGCAACGATGAAACACAACTTTCCTCTAGTTCCTAAATGTTTCTCCTCCCGCCCCTACTATCATGATCCCAATTCTACCTTGCAAATCTGACTAGACCAGAGGATGTACACTGGTACAGATAGGAACCAGAAACACACGGGACCCAGGACAGATGATCCCTTCAGGACCAGTGCTGAGAGTGGAGATACTGGGTGGGTGGAGGGAGGGTGGTGTGGAAAGGGGGAACCAATTACAAGGATCTACATATAACCTCCTCCCTGGGGGATGGACAACAGAAAAGTTGGTGAAGGGAGATGTTGGCCAAGTGGGTGAAGGGAGACATAAGATATAACAAAATAACAATTTATAAATTATCAAGGGTTCCTCCGGGAGAGGGACCGGGGAGGGAGGGGAAAAATGAAGAGCTGATACCAAGGGCTCAAGCAGAAAGCAAATGTTATGAGAATAATGCTGGCAACAAATGTACAAATGTGCTTGACACAATGGATGGATGTACGGATTGTGTTAAGAGTTGTATGAGCCCCTAATAAAATGATTTTTTAAAAATTAAAAAAAAAAAAGAAAAGTGGGAGTAAATCACAGCTAGCTCATTGGGTGCCATCATGCAATTAGAAAAACAGGCTTCTCCTCCAGAAGATGCAGTCTTTTCTAAGAATCCCGGCTTGGCTAGTTTATCTTGCTTTTGTGGGAATTAGAAAAGGTCACGTTTCCTGAGCAGACGCAGCTCCAGGGACCCGTGGCTTGGTGAAGTTCCATTTGTCAGTTCCCACTGGCTTTCTTTCTGTTGTTGGTACCAGGGCCACAGCGACTTTGCCCTGCACTTGGTTGGCGCTTTGTAGGAAACCAGTGGTTGGATCCTACTTTGCTTCTGTTATCATCACAGAATCCTCTGTGAAATGGGACATGCAGGAGCTTGTAGAGTCTTCCAGCGAGAGAAAGCAGGCGGCGAAATACCGGTACAATTTGTTCGTTTAAGTGTTTAATTCCATAATACTCTGGCTTTTGCCCGAGTGTAGCTCTCTGGGATTAAGCGAATGGTTTCTTTCAATAAGAGGATTCATGCACGTGTCTCCTTAGCGGTTTCCCATCTCCAGACTGTCTGCTCACAGCAGATCCTGTGTGGCTGCCAACGGTGTGTCCTCACGCACTAATCTGCTCCCACCGATCTCTGATCCTGTCTCTTCGATGGCTCCCCATTGTCTATGATTGTCTACCTCATGTTGGTGAATGGGGGGGCCCTTTCTTTCTTCTTTTGTCTTTTTAAAAAGAAAATTCCCACAAATTCTAGTGCTTTTTTACATCTTAAGTATGTCTTTAGAAACCAAAACAAACTGTCTGTCTCCAATGACTTACAGAGCTATAGAACCCAAAGGAAAACATACGTTATGAAAAAATTGCAAAGCGAAATTTCTTCTCTAAGCTGCCCTAATTTGGTGAGATGAATGACGTTGTTTAGAGAAACCGAGTTATCCTTCGGACTGTAAATAACTCTGCAGTGGTTATTTGGAGTCTGGCATATCTACAGCCAGTAGGCACCACACCGTAACTTAGTTTTTCCACAACTTCACTGCTTCTGCCTGGGTGCTCTCTCTATACAAACAGTACCTTCTCTCGCCAGTCACTCCCCCTCTCTGTTAGCTCCTTACCAGGAGCAGCTGTTTGGTGCTAACCTAATAGTAACGGTAAATATGAACACTGAAAATCCATCCCAATGGTCACCTGGATGATCTGGAATACAGTTTTACTCCTACTCTTATCATTATTGCTATTAGTGACATCCTCATTGGAATGAAACACCATGGCTTCATAGGGAATTTAGGAAGCCTCAAACATCCCCGAGCTCCCTTTGGGAAACGTTACAGGGCATCGTCAAAACTCTGGGTGGTGAACAACCTTCTTCAGATTCCAGTCCCTCTCTGTCTGTCCCTGGACGGCAGACAGTTCAGTCCTTGACTCTGAAGCAGAACGCTGACAGTTGTGTCCACCCAGAGAAGCCTCAGAAGAGAGGCCCAGCCTTTGAAAGGGCACAGCCGGAAAGCTCCCATGGAACATGGTGCTGCTCCGCGTTCCATGGCTGGCCCTGCTCTCCCACAACTTTTCTCTCTTTCTGCTAGACGGCTAGCTTTGGATTCATAGCAAGTGTGGCTTTTTTGTTTATTTGGTTTAATTTTTTTTCCTGCCTCGCCTCCTCTGTGGTTCCTCCCGCTCCTCACCACCATGATTTGTTTTTGATGTCCCAGCAGTAGTGCAGGAGAAGGACGGGGCTTTCTGTTCCTGCCAAGAGTGACCGTCTTGGAAGCCCACAGGGGCAGTCCTACCATGTGCTATAGGGCCACTGGGCGTCAGCATCACCTTGGTGGGAGTGAGTGAGTGAACAGTAGTGAGCTGCATGCTTTCCACATCCATTATGAGATCCCATTCCTTTAAACCTTCAATGTACTGTCAAATGATCTCGAATGGCCCTCGGGGCTTCGGAAACTTTCTCCTTGATCTTCAAGCCTCCGTTCAAATACTAGTTCCCCTGGGAAACCCTCCTAGCCCCTGGCAGTCTCTGAGGCTTTGCACCATCACTAAAGCTTTGTTGGCGGACAAAGGCTGGCAGCTGGACTCCAAGCTCTGTCAGGGATTTTGGGGGACCCAGCTCTCAGTGGAAGTGCTCAAAAAAGCATCTGTTGGATGAAGGAACACTGGTTAAAAAAAAGAGTCCAAGGGATAAGATCCACTTAGAGGGACGCTTTAGGGGTTGTGTTAGTCTGGGTACTTTAG